CAGTTGAGAAGGTTGCTCATCTAGGTTCTTTTGAATCCACATTAACTGCTGTTAATTAGTTTACTCTTGTGTAGATGATACTTAGTTTATTCCTGACAACCAATTCCACTATTCTGCATGGAATGAATGTAAGATTAATGGCTTTGTGGTTTCCTGTGTCTGGACCGTCATCCTTTCTTTTCAATAATGGGAACAGTATTAGCCTGTTCTCAATCTACTGGCATTTCTCCAGTGTCTATTGACTTCTTGATAATGGTCATCAGTGACTCAAAGTTTCCTTCTCTTCCTCACTATTCAGAGATAAATGCCATCTACTCAAAGTGTTTGTTTTTTTCTTTTGCAATGTCCAAAATTACTGTAGGATGAAATCATTGATTTTTTGTGGGCTAGTTTTCTGTTAGAGGGCACACATCGCATGTCTTTCTTTGCAAATACTTGCAAGAAATAGCCGTACAAAGTCTTTTCCATTTTACTTGCATCCTCCACTTCAAGCCCAGTCATTTCTTTTATGGCTTTCATCTGTTCTCTGACTACTTAATGTTGAGGCACTGAAAGGTTATTTTACTGTAATGCTTGGTTTCCCTCAATAGCAATATTTCCATTGGTTAGAGATCACTTTGTGAGAAACACTTAGATGAAACATGTGAGAGAGTTATTTAAATTTTAATTTGTGGAAATGGACATCCTGCAAATTTGTTCCTAGCACTTAAGTATTCAGCATGTCCAATTATTATCATGTCTTTGTGAAATGTTCACCCAGAATTGTTTTCAACCAGTACAAAAATACATGGAAATGGTAATAAGGTAAATACCTTTCAGAGATTTCGATTTATCTTGTTTATTTCTTTGCACATTTGGGTTCTAATAAGGCTTTGTTCAGGTTTATTTGAATTTTTAGTTCTGCCTCCACTGGGATCATTCTAACTGTTATGTTCGAAACAAGGAGTGTAACGTAGGGAATGAAAACAAGTCCCACTTCTCCAGTGATATTTTTCACATAACAGTCAGTAGCCATACACATGCGTCGTCAGTCAGAGATGACATTACAAACAGAAAATTCTAGAAATACTCAGTAGGTTAGGGAGCATCTATGAAAGGAGAAAAGTAGAGTGACCTGCATTAACAGGAAGTGTGCAGACTGTCCACCCTCCCTGACTAAAAGTCAGTCAGTGAAAAAAGTGTCTGCTTTGCAGCAATACTCACTTTGAATAGTGTTCACAAGGGCGGCCTGGAACTTTCCCCACTCACTATAGAGGGAATCCTGCCTTCACAAGTTGCTAGTTCTTATAATGTCAGATATCACTTGGGATGTCGTGGATGGATTTGTGTCCAGCTTTGTGGTATTAGTCAAGGCTGACCACACGATGTCTTAAGCAGAAGATAGGCTCAATCTTGACAAATAGTATATAGATTTATTACATATTTCTCATTTCTCATACGAGACAAGAGTAATTTCATGTTAAAATTGCTTGAACAGCATTGGTAACAAGCACAGAGCTCTAACAACTCTTTAGAAACTCTTGGACAACTGGTTATTTCCTCCCAGGAGCATTTTTTTTCTCTCCTGACGGGCAAAGCCTATGTCATGATGTCAATTAATCCTTACAGCATAAATCCTGAACCAGGTAAGGGGTATTGAACAGTGAGAGTTTCACTAGCTTTCAGAGCGGGAGATGGTGAGTGGTTTGGTGGTGGATTTTGGAGAGCAAGTGGGTAGAAAAACAAATGGGATGCTAAGCCTGGAGAGAGTAGGAGTGCCCCGATCCATGAAGTGCACCCCCTGATGATGATAATCAGTTTTACTTCCTGCCTTTTTAAAAAGAAGATTTTTTTTAAAAATGGCCTACCAACTCTCACATGACTGCTCATTCCAACTGTATTATTATGTGGCAGTGTACTACCAGATCAATTGAGCTTTTAACAGATTCAATTGACACTTATTTATTTGCAAATGGTTGGTGGGCTGTCAATTGTGACACCTGTCCAAGCTTTTCTTTGTGGGGTGAGTTCAGGGTGAGCACCTGCCCTATCTCTTATGTTCTCCTGCCACAAACACACTGTGAAAGGCATGCAAAGTCCAGCCCAGTGTTGGGAGTGACGCTCTTTCATCAGAACTAGACAATGGTTCCAATTTAACAGGCTTTAAACAAGCAGAGGCATAGAAAGGACTGGGGAAGGGAGTAGAAAGGACAAAATGGAAATTCCGATAGTTTGAAAATCAAGAGTGATTAAATGATTAAGCGATTAAATAGAGAGGTCAGAGTATGAGTGGGATGGAGAAGGAAAATGACAAGAAAGAGATGAATATGTCTCATTTTGACAGACAGTTTGAGGGGTGGATGCTCTGATTCCCAAAGGCAGCTGGTACATCAGGATCAATAGCACCACCAAGACAGTTGAATGTTAACTGACTGAATTGTTGGATGTTCTAAAAAACAAAGTCCAACTAATTGCCATGTTTTCAATGGCACTGCAAAAAATAATTTGTACCCGGGCTTATCAACTGCCAGTGTACCCTGACTGACTGCACCATCACTGATAATAGAAGTTCTGGTATATCTATTTTGGGGAACTGTCTTTACGCATTCTGAGTCCTGAGAAATCCGCTTGTAGATAAGTGCCATCTGCTCCAAGTATAACAGCACTGCTATGCAGCATTGAGCTAGCGTGTTCAGTGACAGTATACTCATTTACAGCTTGAAGTTTGACTCTGTCTCTCAGCAGGCATGCCATAAAGTATGCAGTGATGCAGCAGGAACCCCTTGCAACCATTAATTATCTCCATCCTTTAAATTTCAGTGATATACAATTTTCTACTTCCACCACATGTCTAAATCCGCATCTTTTGCTGTGTATAATTGATAATATGCTAACCTTGGAAGCTTAAGTCAACAAAGTCTTGTTTCTGTCCGTGTCGGGGAAAATCTATCTCTAATCATTTAGATGTATACTGCATCCATATCAGAAAATCTGTGTCACTCAGAAGTAGCAAGAACTACAGATGCTGGAGTCAGAGTCAACACAGTGTGGAGGTGGTGGAATACAGCAGGTCAGGCTGCATCAGAGGAACAGGAAAGTCAACGTTTCGGATTGAGACCCTTCACCAGAACTGGGGAGGGGGAAGGTAGCTGGGAAATAAATAGAGGGAGGAGCAGCGGGCTGGGGGAAGGTAGGTGGATGCAGGTAGGGAGTAGTAGGGATTGGTCAGTGGGAAGGCTTCTGCTACAATTTCTAGCACCATTTTGAGAGTTAACCTGAAAATAATTATATTGTGCTTTCAGTTCCATCAGATCACTTCAAATTTTAGAAATGCCTTCATCAGTCACTAAGTTCTAATTGTAAATTAGATGTCTAAATACAGAGGCTCTGAAGTTCCAAAGAACTCTTGTACTTCATCATAAAAGTTGCGCAAAGTTGTGCTTCCTCATGCACTGTGCCACAGTCTAGGTAGCTCATCCCAAATAATAAACATTAGGATCAGTTCCATATGTGTATATCTGGGCTTAGCAGGATGTTCAGCTCAACCTGGCCCAGCCTGCACATTTGAAATGTAGAAGTGCCCTGCCATCAAGTCTCATATACATAAAGTATTGAGTTTTAAAGCCTTGGCCTCCACTGGCAACTGCTTAGCAGAAAGGGAGGCAATGGCCTAATGATGTTATCTGCTGGACTGTTAATCCAGAGACCCAGATAATGTTCTGGGGACCCGGGTTCGAATCCCACCATGGCAGATGGTGGAATTTGAATTCAACAGTTATCTGGAATTAAGAATCTAATGCTGACCGTGAATCCATTGCTGATTGTCAGGAAAACCCCATCTGGCTCACTAATGTCCTTTAGGGAAGGAAATTACCATCCTTACCGGGTCTGGCCTACATGTGACTCCAGACCCACAGCAATGTGGTTGACTCTTAACTGCCCAACGGGCAATAAATGCTGCCTAGCCAGCAACGTCCTCATCCTGTGAATGAATAAAAGGAAAAAAAAAACCAGGTAATTAATGCCAAGCTGGATTGTTCACCTTATTCTAGTAAATGTTTAGAACTCATAACTCACTGAGAGTTCTGCTGAGGTATCTCATGAGTGTAAAGGAAAGAATCCCTGTCATAGCAGAAGATTCCGATCTGGCTTCTGGACTGGAACATGAAGGTGTGGTTTAAATGAAAGGTATCATTTGATCAAGGTTAAAAGAACTGTGTTCCTCTTAATGAATAAAATAGCACATTTGGGTGGTTCAGGCTTTAATGACAGTTCATCTGTGTTTACTCATTTGCTGCATTTTTAAAATCCATTTTTATTTCTTTCCTAAATGCAGAGCTTCATGTATGGGTACACAAGTTAAATTTATTTCTGTTTACTTATCACAGGATTTGTCTCTGAAATTGAAATGCAAGAGAAGAATAACACTTGCCTGGGGTGACAGGATGTGCATCTTCCAGATCTGAAACTACGAGAGTAGGATCCTACTGTAGGATGCTTATTTGGCTTTGCAGCTCAACTATGGATTGACAACTCAAATAGAATCAGAGTTACAAGATAAGAAACACCCTCTCAATGACCTTTGGAATTACTACAGTTATTTATTGGCACCAAGGACTTTGGGAATTTATATTGCTGAGAATCCAGTAATGGCATCGTGCACAATGTTTCTTCACACAAGATGGAGTTGTCCTGTATCCTTTCTACATCGCATAGCCACCATTTTCTTCAATGTAGACTGTAGGACTGCCCTCTGGATATTCAGCTTTGCTGTGAGGGTCACAGTGCTGGAAGGTCAGATCAATTACCCAACTGTGAATACACATTACGGAAAACTACGGGGAATCCGAATTCCCTTGCCAAGTGACATACTTGGCCCAGTGGATCAGTACCTGGGAGTTCCATATGCAAGTGCTCCCACTGGAGAGAAAAGGTTCCAACCACCAGAGCCTCCGCCCTCCTGGTCTAGAATACGTAATGTAACTCACTTTGCCCCAGTCTGTCCACAAAACATTCATGGTATAGTGCCAGAAATCATGTTGCCAATCTGGTTCACGGCCAATTTGGATATAGTTGCAACCTACATCCAGGATCAAAATGAAGACTGTTTGTATCTAAACATCTATGTTCCTACAGAGGATGGTGAGTTGGAGGGGGATGAGCCAATGTTTCTTTTGTCTGGTTCTTTGTTCCTGTTTTGTCTGTATGTTGCTTTTTAAGCATGAGATGGTTTCCTATTTCGCACCTGACCCCATTCCATCCTCCTCCTGCATGTAGTTGTTATGTGGCTCACGTTGTGGCTTCGCCTTACTTTGACCTTTACATCTCTTACTGTCCATGGCACTGTTATGGTTCCTCTTTTGTTTCTTTGGCACAGTTTGACAACCAAAAGTTAATCATCACTGCAAAAAGTCTCAAGACAGGTGCATTGACAACAAGGTTAATTCGCAGCGTTTTGGGGTTCACACTGTAATGTGTGAGGGGACAAGTGGGTCGGAAAGTTTGTGAAGGGTGATTGCAGAAATATTCTCCCAGGACATACATGGGTTGTGACTGAATGTCTGCTGCAAAATCACTCTCAAATCCAGAGGATTAGTTTACAGTTTAATGTTTGTTTATGATTTAGTTCACTTCTTAGAACTCAGAATGTGAAGAGAGCATATTGTTCATTCATAAAGACCCTGAACCAATTTTGCAAGACTCATCCAGATTATCTATCAGTCACTGTAGATTTTCCATGGGTCATCACTATCAACTATCCATTAATTGGTATAAAAATCCACAAACCAGTGCAAGTTATCCTCAGGCTCATGCCAATTATTCATATAGTGTAATACATTCAGTAATGTCGGGCACGAACTTTATATTTTCATCAAAAACTACTAAAACTGCTGAGTTTAATCTCAGTTTCTACTGAGACCTCATGTCCGAGAGCTACTCTTATTACACTCGTCAGGGCAAGGGCTAATCCCTCAAAGGCAGTTGTGAGCGTCGATCACTATGTGAATAATTGTGCTAGTCAATGACGCAGGGGTTTCACAATGGACTGTGCTTACTTTATTGTGTTAATACCTTGATTCATCAATGTGAATTACATTGGCACTGGGGAAATTGTAAAAAAATGGTGTACTAAGTTCACACAGTAAGTAGTTAGGATCAGAAATAACTCTATTGAAGTTCAATTAAGACATCCATTGAGATATTGCATGATTATTCAAATAGAATAAATGTGCAGGCTTATGGGAAGAAGGCAGGAGATTGGCATTAAATTAAAATGCTTAGAGAGCCAATGCAGACATAACAGCTGAATGGTCACCTTCTGCACCATAATAATTCTGCGAAGTTTTAAGCACAATTCAGAGCTACTGTTATATATCGTTAGGTTCAGAACACCTCTAGTGTGTCTGTGTAACATTTCAATTTCTCATATAATTCATCCTTATGGTCTCTTAGTTGGATTGCCAATTAATGCTTAAATTTGTACTGTAGACATTTTTCCACTGATAGTCAAAATGTAACAAACAGAATTCATTTTATATGCAATGCCGGAACTGGGCTAGACTCAAACTCAAATTAATGAGATGAGATAGTCATTAGAAGCGCTATTAACTTAATAAACGCAAGCTGAGAAGTTTGTTTCATGCTGAAAGCTGTTGCTAGGGGCAGAGCGTTGCAACATGTGACAAAAAATGAAGTCCAGATTTGCTAGAAAATATCGTTCTCATGCAGGTTACTAGTCACGGTTGCTTTAAATTGGCTAGACCAGGGATAGGTGAACCTTCGGGAAGGGAGATGAACATGAGTGAAGTGAACAGAAACAAAGTTGCTGGAAAAGCTCAGTCGGTCAGGTAGCACCTGTGAAGGAAAAAACAGATTTAACGTTTCGGGTCCGGTGACCCTACCTCAGAACCTCAGAAGGGTCACCGGACCCGAAACATTAAATCTGTTTTTTCCTTCACAGATGCTGCCAGACCTGCTGAGCTTTTCCAGCAACCTTGTTTTGTTACTGATTTACAGCATCCGAAGTTCTTTCAGTTTTTATGAGAGGAGTGAATGCAGTCTGGTCACAGATCTGGGAGGAACACTCATTTAAAGTTATTTAAAAGAAAATATGTTGGTTTTTGATGCAAGCCCTACCATTTTTTGCCAAGTTTAGCATTAAAGTCTAAAATGTAAGTTTGTGTTCGTTACATTCAAGGGGCTTAATGCTGCTTTAGGTCGTTGCTGAACCAAAAATTTGCCAAATTTCAAAACCACTGGATATGATGTTGATAAATTGGAATCATTAAGGTGATAATCAGTCAGTACAATGTGTAAGATGAGTGCACTCAACTTGACTTTAACAATTTCTGCACATCATTCTTTCTAGATGAGCAGATTAAACTTGGTCTGCATATACAAAGGGTTGGAATTATGATGAGTGGGACTAATGAGAAGTGGATTTTGGTAAAATGCTGGGTAAGCAGTGATAGATTTAGTTATTATCATGAATAATGAGAGTTAGATGTAAATAGGTAACCGTAAAAAAAGACTGTATTTAGGTCATCTGAAGAATTGTAGATTTGAATTAGTTGGAGTGAGGGCTTAAGAAGAGTTGTATTCACACAACATGAGGCTTATGAAAATGATATTTAAGTATTATGGATTGTTAGGGAGCTCAGTTTAAACTTAATAAGGAATTTATTAGGAGAATTTGATTTGCAGTAGATTACGAATCCAGGATGTAGGAGTTACTTGAGCTAAAGGAGAACATAATGCCGGGATGTGATAAGACCAAAGAATCATGAAGGGAAGCTGGAGAAATTGAGAGTGAATATGTGCCAGAGAACTGTAAAGAGGACAATGTAACACTCATTTGCAAGAAAGAACATGGTAATTCAAGAATGCCATTTATCATCTGTTGTGCAGAAAATTTTAAATGTTTAAAAATAAAATTACTAAATACCTGGATGGACGAACATTGGTAGAAGCAATCAACATGGATTTCAGCGAGGAATTCTTTGAGAAGTTGGCATTTAGGTGAATATGGGAAATGTGCATGAACTTACTGAAAGTCATACCTCGACTTGAATTTATAAGGCATGTTTAAAATTATAGAACATGTTAAGTTGATTCAAAACAAAATGTAACACTGAGCCACATAAGGAAACACATACCGGCAGATGATCAAAAGCTTGGCCAAATGGAAAGGGTTTCAAGAAGTGCCTTAGAAGGAGAAAACTAATGTTGAGAGGTTTAAGGTGGAAATTCCAGAGTTTAGGGTGGAAATTCCAGAGCTTAGGACATTGGTATCCAAGGTGGAATAATTAAAATTGAAGATATTCAACAATAGGGCTGGAGATGATTAGAGATGGGAAGGGGACAGCCGAGAATGGATTCAACAACAAGTAGGAGGAGTTCAAAATGGAGAGGTTACTTAACTAGGAGCCATTATAGCTCTGTGAACACAGGCTCAGGGGGTGAATGGAACTTCCTGTGAGTTTGAACACAGTCTACAGAGTTTTGGATGAACACAAGTTTTCAAAAGGTAGATTATAAAGGACACCAGTCATGAGTGTGTTATAAATTTCAAGTCTGAAAATAACCAAATCACGCAGGAAAATTTAAGTAGCAGAGGACCTGTCTCAGGGAATGAGTGGGACAGTGCCATGGAGGTGGAAATAGGCAGTTAGTGATAGGACAGCTAAGTGTTTGATAGCTCACCTTGGGGTCAGATATGACAGATATGCATTCTACTTCAGCCTCAGATTGTTGCAGGGAGAGGAATTGAATCAGAGTCTAGAGAGTGGAATTAGTAGTGCCAAACAAAGAAAATGACTTCGGCCTCCCCAGTATTTAATTGGAGGAAATTTTGTCTCCTCCAGTATTGGATATCAGTATTGATCACTGCAGGGAGACAAGACACCTCAGAGATAGTGCAAATAGCGGAAGTGTCAAAATATATAATGTAAGGTAGACATAGATGTTGTTAGAATATGTGTGGAAATTGATTCTGTGTAGCCAAGGGGCAATGTGTGGATGAAAAATACGAGGGGGCCGAGGATATATTCTGGGGTTGACACCAGGGCTACATTTGCACGAGTGAGAAAAGGAATCAATGATGACAATTTTCTGACTACGATTAAATAGATAGAAATGAACCAGATGAATGCACTGACACCAAGCTCTGGAGAAGGATGGTGGTGTCAACTGTGACTAAGTTACAGACAAGTGAAAGATTTCATGGAGGGATAATTTGCCATTGGCACAATCACATAGTCTGTTATTTGGTCTACTGATTAGAGCAGATTTGGTGCTTTTACAAGGAGATTACATGGATAGACTATGGAGTCCCGAGAAGGATTGGAACAAATTTCAGAGGAAAGGACACATTCAAGGACTTTGGAAACGAATGGCAGGTTGGAGAAGGGACAACTTTTTGCAGGGTTGGAGAGGGTCATGTGTTGTTTCTTTAAAGACAAATGTGATGAGAGCAGATACTAAGGAGAGAGGAACAGAACCAGAGAAGTGATAACCTTTTAACAATGCTAACTAACATGGAGCCAGGAAAGGAATCTTAGTTTTCAGCAGTGCGTGGGAATAGGATCAGAGAGCAAGTGGGAATCGTGGACTCCTCTAGGCTTATACATAAAAGATGGCCTGATGGATAAGTTTTTAATGATAACCAGCAACTATGAAATTGTACCTCAGCAAGTCAGCAGTAACTTCAGAAGAAAAAGTAAAAAATGATCTTTTATCATTACCATGTGACTTTAGCTGATGCTTGAGTAGCTCATGGTGCAGAAAAAGATGAATTAATTAGCAATATTCTAACTTTTATCTTCAAAAAAAAATTGTAATTATATAGTGCATTTATTGTAATAAAACATCCCAAGTTGCTTTACAGAGAATTGTTAATCAAAATGTGACACTAAGCCATATGGGAGATATTAGGGTATTTGCCCAAATGGTAAACAAAATGTTTACTGAGTCAGAGGAAGTAGTGACTATTACAGTACATGGAAGGATATGGATGAAATCTGTGGGAAATATAGTTACCCTAGTGTATTTTGTTTAGCACACAGAATATTAACACTTTGAATTATCTGAACACATTGTAGGGTTTATTATTATGACCTGAGTAATGTGCCTCGTTTAAGGAGCTAGAATTGCTGGAAATTTCCTGACTGTGAACAGTAATCAGCAAATGACACTGTGATAGTACCATTGCTGGCATTCCACTCAGATTGATCCTATGCACTGCTAGTGATTGACAAATTAGTGATTGACAAACTAGTGAAACACAGCATTTATAAATATTGCAAAGGTGGAGGAAGAAGTGCCTTGGTCTTTCCGTATTGCAAAATTTTGGAAGTATTTCTGATGATTTCCTGTATTTGATATCAGTAGTAAAGTTGTAAATGCATTCTCTCAGGTTCAAGCAAATCATCACAAATGTACCTGTTCAGGGACAACAACCTGAAGTTTTGTTTTGAAAACCCACCTACCCCAAGGCGTCAGAAAAGAATACCTGTAAACAATCAATCTGAAATAAAAACAAGAACTGGTTGGCTCGGAACCATCAAAATGTATCTGATAAAATGGCAAAACGGGCTCACATTTTAAATAAGACCCTTTATCAGAATTCCTGAGAGGATATTCATAGTTTATTCTTTACTTGAAGCATTTGAAAAATGGGGCCTTTTTATGTGAGGCACATTCTACCAAAATCCTAAAGTGTTATTACAGAACCTCTTAGTTTAAGAGATATTGGAGTGGTACTGCATTGACAGCTTGAACATCATGGACCAGCTGTGCCCTGGGACAACTGAATATTTCTGCAAACTGGTTTTGTGTGTGTATGTGTGTGTGAGTGAGAGAGAGAGAGAGTGTGTGTGTGTTTGTCTGTTTGTCTGCCTGTGTACATGTGTATGTAGGGGAAGTGAAACGGTTGTGATTGCATGCTCCTGTTTTGTCTGATGGAGCCTCATGTTATTTTGCAGTATTTTATTCATTTTACAGTAAAAAGAATATCGAAGGAATGCACAAGAAAACCCAACAAGAAAATATGTAGAAAAGGAGGTAGGTAGAAACCTGGTATCACATGGGGAGGAGCGAGCATGCATTCTCAACACAAGCAACAAGCTTCATCATGAAACTGCAATTACCCAAATGGAAACTGCAAATTACAAACAAAATGTGTGTGTATGTGTGTGTGTGTGTGTGTGCATGAGTGTCTTTTGAATAGAGTTTGATATATTTTGCACTAATGACATGCACTTAATACCATGCATTTTGTTCACTGTAGCATTCTAATAGAAAATATCTATTGTGTACCAGACAATAGCTTACCAGACACAGAGGAATACATACTGGTAAACAGTCAATATCTCCAGAAAAGGAAAGAGGCACTAAAAGTTTTTTTATGTTGGCCAGTGTGTTGACATGTGTTTTGTTTCTTAATGGAGTTAAATATGCAAACTCTAACTCACCTGGTACAAGTACTATTATACAGTCATTCAAACATTTGTAAAGAAAGTTGATCCTATCTCACCTTTCTCTCAGTGGTGACATGAGGGGAAAGTAAGTCCATTTCAAAGTATTTATGATTCCCTCAAAGGGATCTGAGACACATTGGGTGAGATTTTAACTCACTCAAAACACATTCTGTTACACAGAGTTAAAATTGGGCCTATTAATATGCTTATTGTCAGGACTGTATTGTCAGGAGCAACCTGCAAACAATATGCTTGTTAGGACCTAAATCTATTTAAGGACCTTGGTGTGAAAGCGAGACAGACACACCACAAATGCTCACAAGTTTCTCAAGTTCAGTAGTTGCTCATATTTCTCACGTTGAACAATGTTCTAATTAGTGGTTCTTAAAGTAACGCATAGTGGCAACAGAAGACAAGGTAAGTAAACAGTTTTCTATTTACCCTAATAAGGGAGTACGAGACCACTCCACCTGCCTTTATAAAAATAGTTTGGTAGCCACTTATTTGGTATGCATTGCAATTATGCTGCAGGCAATAACCAACTTCTCTGTCTACTAAATGGGTCTGCTGCACCAGGAAGGAGAGATTGGGAAATAATCTCAGAAACACTCAAACCTACACCGGACACATTTTCAGTAGTTGCTTTCCATTAGGCACAATTTCCTTGAAATTTGAAATTGCCATCATTATCTCTAGTTCAAAGATCATCCTGACCACTCCTCCAACCAGTGGTATAGATATCAAACCTTTCTTTGCATGCTGTTAGATGCCCAACTCTTCTTTGATTCTCTCCTCAAACCCCTTTAGTTTATGCCTCAAAACCATGGTGATCACAGAGTTTTCTATGACATCAATGACTCCATTCTGGATTCACTCATATTATTTATAATGTGTTACAATTGGTAATGTTATTTATGGATGTTTGGCTGTGATACATATTAATGAAAAATGTTCCATCTTGTGCTCCACCACCTTTGACTCCATAATCACATGACCACACTGTTGTATGACAGTTTATTTGACATCATTATTGATAGTCCAGAATTTTCTTCAGCATTAAAAAGATGGAACCCATTCTTTTCAGTGCCTAACATAACTCCATATTTTTGCCCATAGCAATTCCTTCCTCAGTCACACATGCAGGTTGCTCCTGACAATACAGTACATCCCTGGATTTGTCCTACTTAGATTCATAGAGTCATAGAGCTGTACAGCATGGAAACAGACCCCTCCGTCCAACTCATCCGTGCCGACCAGATATCCTAAATTAATCTAGTCCCATTTGCCAGCATTTGGCCAATATCCCTTTCAACCCCTGCTATTCATATACCCATCCAGATGCCTTTTAAATGTTGTATCTCTGCCAGCCTCCACCACTTCCTCTGGCAATCCTTTCCATACACACACCACCCTCTGTGTGAAAACGTTGCCCCTTAGGTCCCTTTTAAATCTTTCCCCTCTCACCTTAAAACTATACCGTCTAGTTTTGGACTCCACTACCCTGGGAAAAAGCCCTTGATATTCACCCTATCTGTGCCCTTCATAATTATAAACTTTTATAAGGTCACCCCTCAGCCTCCGACGCTGTAGGGAAAAAAGCCCCAGCCTATTCAGCCTTGCCCTATAGCTTAAACCCTCCAAGCCTGGCAACATCCTTGTAAATCTCTTCTGAATCCTTTCAAATTTCACAACATCCTTCCTATAACAGGGAGACCAGAATTGAATGCACTGTTCCAAGGGTGGCTTAAACAGCTACAACGTGACCTCCCAACACCTATACTCAATGGACTGATCAGTAAAGGCAAGCATACTAAATGCTTTCTTCACTATCCTGTCTACCTGTGACTCTACTTTCAAGGAACTGTGAACCTGCACTCCAAGGTTTTGTTGTCCAGCAGCACTCCCCAGGACCTTACCATTAACTGTATAAATCCTGCCTTGATTTGCCATTCCAAAATGCAGTATCTCACATTTATCTAAATTAAACTCCATCTGCCACTCATCGGCCTGTTGGCCTATCTGATCAAGATCCCGTTGTACTCCAAAGTAACCTTCTTGGCTGTCCACTACACCTCCAATTTTGATGTCATCAAACTTACTACCTATACCTCCTATGCTCACATCCAAATCACTTAACTCCAACTTAGTTAAATAGCTCCACCTATATCCGATTCTACCTGCAGAACTCCTCACTTATCTGTCCTGTATTTAAAAATCATTATTGTTTCCTTGTTACCTAATTAAATATTTTCCTTATTTTCCAGAATGCTTCATATCCCTCTTCTATCCTGCTTCTACACCCAACCCTTGCTATGTACCCAGTGCTCCTTAGCCTGTTAGCCTCTGCTGTTCTATGCACCACATCCCTGAACCCATCCCTTCTCCCTATAAATTTTTCTTCAGTGGTGGGTGGTACTTCAGGCATTAGTGCCTTCTCTGCACCTTTCTCCCTGAACTCATACGTAGCTGCTCCATCCCATTTACATGAGAAATGCCTGATACTTTCACCAGGAAAATGTTTTGGACATATGTATAATTATTAGAAATGATCCTGAGAGATCGGATTATCTCTCGCATAGAAAGGCATTGGGTAGTCAGCGTAGCTTTGTTAAGTGAAGCCTATGCCTTACAAATTTGATTGAATTCTTTGAGGAAGTGACAAAGGGAATCGAAGATGGATGCAATAGATGTTGTCTACATGGATTTTAGTATGGCATTTGACAAGGTCCAACAAGGAAGATTGGTCAAAAACGTAAAAGCCCACAGAATACACGGTAATCTGTCAAAGGTTGGCTCAGTAACAAAAAACAAACGGTAATGGTCAATGATTGGCCTTGCAAGTGGAAATCTGTTTCAAGTGGTGTTCCACACAGCTCAGTGTTGGGATCCCTGCTGTTTGTTTTATGCATTAACAATTTGCTGTTGAACGTGGTGGAGGCAGAGGTACACAATTGGGAAATTTGCAGACAACACAAAGATTAGCTATGTAGTGGATAGCAGTATGCCTCACAATGATATAGATAGGTTGGTGGGGTAAGCAGGAAACTGGCAGATGGAGTTCAACTCTGATAAGTGTGAGTTAAACAATCTAGGGAGGTCAGACAGTAAAAGGGAGTATGCGATAAATGGTAATATACTGAGAGGGGTAGATGAAGTGAGAAATCTTGATGTGCAAGTGCACAAGTCCCTAAAGGTAGTAGTGTAGGTAGGTAAAATTGTAAAGAAGGCATATGGAATGATCTCCTTCATTGGTAGAGGTATAGAATTCAAAAATACGGATATAATGATGAAACTGGTGAGACTATAAGACACTGGTGATGCCACAGCTGGAGTTTTGTGGGCAGTTTTGGTCACCAAATTACAGGAAGGATGTAATTGCTCGAGAGAGATTGCAAAGAGTTATTCGAATGTTGCCAGGGCTGGAGAACTGTAGCTACAAGGAGAGATTGGAAAGGTTGGGGTTGTGTTCCTTGGAACAGAGAAAGCTGAGGGGTGACATGATTGAGGTATACAAAATTGTGAGAGGTACAGATAGAGCAGACAGGAGGAACCTGTTCCCTTGGCAGAGAGTTCAAAAACCAGGGGTCATAGATTCAAGCTAAGTGGCAGAAGGGTTAGAGGGGATGTGAGGAAAACCTTTTTTATGCAGAGGGTGGTGGGTGTCTGAAATTCACTGCCTAAGTTGGTAGAGACCCTAAACTCTTCTAAAAAGTACCTGAATCTGCACCTTAAGTGCTGTAATCTGCAGGGCTATGGGCCGTGCGCTGGATGGTGGGATTGGAAAGGGCTTCTCAGTGTATTTGGATTGGCATGGACAAGATAGGCCCCATGGCCCCCCTCTGTGCTGTATCATGTCTATGGTTCTCTGGTTCTATATCCAAAGGGAGACACAGCTCATGTGTTTGCTTTTAATTGCACAGCTGCTTAAAAACGTAGTGCAGTTGAAAGATTTGTCCTGCCATTAACGGCATACAGAAAATATCTACCTTGTGTGATTGGGTTGATATTTATAAAAATGAATTCATCCTGAATGGTTTCGCATCTGGTGGATTGTTCCAAACTAATTTGAGATGATCCTTTGCTAGAAAATTGTCACTTTAAAGGATGTGAAGATTTTGGTAACCTCTACTCTGACTACTTTTTCTAGAGGTTTTCAATTTGCCCAATAGATTTGTTGTATCTGTGGTTGTAATCTGCTGTTTCTGAGGACTGGGCTATTGAAGAAATCAGAGTGGAGCATCTTTTCAGTATTCCAGTGTAAGTGTTGGGCTGCCAATTTGTGTCAGCAGATTGCTTAGGGATTTTCACCTTGTCTGTGTAGCTAAAGTGAAGTAATAAGCAACAGCAGGTTGCCTTGCTGCAGAAAAAAAAGTGAATGTGTAACCTCCAGAGTTGCTTGAAAAAACATCTTCTGCTGGTTGAGAGAAGATTGAGATGAGCAGAGGCTTTGGAAAATGTAACTTTGGACAAACACTGATACATGTGTGTGGCTGGCCACTAAAGTGGAGGACATAGCACTGTTGTGTTAGGTTAGTTTTGGATCACGAAAGATTGTTATTATTTGCTGAGGTTTGCACTTTCCTG